TATATATATATATTTCCCAGAAATTAGGAATTTGGATATGAAGACAGATGAGTATGAAAGCTGGTAAGCAGCATGGCAGGCAGTGCTGGGAGCAAAGTGAATTTTAGTGAATTTTATTGAGGTATCCCTGTGGGTTTAATCCAGCATGACATGTAGAGCGTTGTGAAGCCTACAAGGATTATTTTTGCTGGCCTTAGTTGGCCCACTCTCTCCTCCTCTTTGCCCTACTTTTCACTGATTCATGAAGCAGAGGCAGAACAAGAGATCTCTCTATATATGTATTGCAGGATTGCAGTGACAGATGGAGACAGTGGAAAGGCAGAGAGCCATTATTGTACAGAAAGACAGTGCATTCTACAATAAATGTTAAGAAGGTGCATCAAAACAAGGGTTTAGTAAAACAAAAATTTGCCATTAATAAGAGTAATTCACAGAGATTATACATCTCAGAGAAAACAATTCGTTCTAATTTAAACAGGATGTAACTAGATTGAATATGCAGTAGTTCCAGCATATTGTAGTCACTTAGTTGCATTCAAGCTGCTGAGACTGAGCTGCCATAGTGAGTGTCTAGTCACGAAATGAGGGCAACATATACTAATGCACCCCCACCCTCACAAACCCATGATGTCCCCATTTCCCCTGTCTCCATCTCCCATCAGTAGCTCCAGCCCATGCTAGCCTGGATTTAAATGCTCTATTGCAGCACTGCTCTTCACAATTAACAGACATGTTAAATTGTGACTTCTTTCTCTCTAATTTTAAAAGAAGGTTTGCAAGTTATAAAAGAGGCTGTCAGACTGAGACAATTTGATTCAAGCAGGAGATACAATGGCAAATTCAAAGAGCCACTATGGATGTAGTCTAATCTTTTCTCTGCTGCTGCTGCCATCATCATCCATCATCATTTCTGCTACACTGGCAGGGCTAGGGGCCAGGACTCTACTCTTTGGGTTTTTGGGGAATGATGCTAACGCCTCAGATAACAGGCAACCCACCCGCAGTAGATTTGCCCGGTGTGAGGTCTCAGAGCAAGCTATCAAATACGGCGCATTTCTCAGCTTTTGACAAAATGCTATACGTCGCCAGGTGTATAGCACAGTATCACCTTAAAGCACTTGTTGCAGGCTGCTGAGTTTGCATATTTTGCTGTGAAGTACAGCCAGACTTTGACCGCTTCGCTTTGGGCATTTTTAATCTGTAGCTCTGCTCTAAAAGAACGTATGTACCTGGACCCGCCTACTATGCTCGCAAAGGTAAAATGATTGGCTGGAATCCAAAGTGTATGACATCTCAGGAAAAAAAGCACAGAAATAAAGCACTGAAATGTGTGCTGCTTTTCGGTCTGGTTACTACCGTTTATGCCTTAAGGGCACCGGGTACCGGTACCCATCCCTAGTCCCATACTAATTACGTAACAGGATGCTCGTCACTTTGCTATAAAGACGACCACACATATTAGGTCGTACTCCATTATAATGGAAAACCTGTTGATCTGAGTTGAGTTGTGGCGAGTCGATCCGATGCTCTACTAACGGAAAAGGGGCTTTTACTCTTCTCCACCCTTCTTGGCTGAGTCTGTGGGAATTGGTTGCAGGTCAGCGCTCGGCGTCTATTCTTCCTATTTAGCGGCGGCTGTGACACCTGGCTTGCCGCTTCTTCCCAACTTCTCATTAATCACTATTGATACTAATAGAAAGCGAGCAGCCAGAAAATGGGACATTTGAATGCAACACTGGGTGCTTACATTTTAATCTGACGCTGGACAAATACAAGACTTATTCTTCTTTTCTTTCTTTTTCTTTTCTTTCGAACAATTAAAATTTCAACAAAACAAACACAGGAAATGGAAAGCATAAGAAATTTCCAGCAAATGGATCCATAAAGCAAAAACAGAAGGTGTATCAAAGGAAGAAGCAGTGGCTTATCGGGTCCTGTCCCTAAATTTAACTACAATTTTGTAACCAAAATGGTCATGCATACAAACACATACACATACATCTGTCTATAGACAATTATACCCTGGACCCCCAGAGGGTTAAATATTTTTTTAAAGTAACGCAACAGTTACTTTTCAAGTAATTAATTACTTTTGGAATCGTGTAACTCAGTTACTAACTCAGTTACTTTTTTTGAAGAAGTAACTAGTAACTATAATTAATTACTTTTTCAAAGTAACTTGCCCAACACTGGTCATCGCTATCTGTTGAAATTTGTTTTTACATTTATTAACTATTTCTAGTTAATAATAAATAATTATTAACTTTCTTCTACAACTTCCAGTTGGATTGAATTAGGATTTTCTGGTCACAGTCCTCACCCACACTGTTCTCCTCAAGCAGGGTATTTTTTTAATTTCCTTTGCCAGTTTTGGACCCACACTGACAACGAAATCATTACCTGTTATCATTATCTGTTAACCACTTCATTCCTATTTGTAATAACCATATTTTTTCTCTGAAAAAGTCTGGGTAATTAGCTTTGGTTTGTTTGTTTATAATAGTCCATGTACCTTTTGTGTTATTCTTTCGATCCTCTGGCATTTTATTATAATGCTCCTTATTACATTATTGACGGCTAAACACAGTGCAAAGAAAAGAAAACAAAAGGGAAATAAAGACTAATCTAAAAAAATGGTAAAACAACTAAAACCTGAAAACGTGATGAGCTGAGACATAAAACATAAATATGGACAAAGACAGTTAAATGTGGGATAACTGAGCTTGACGTATGACAAACAGATGATCCAACAACAAACAAAGGGAAACTAATACAATATATACACAAACAGTAACGAGAGAGGACAGGAGAGAAACACAACTGGACCTAATCTGACATAACAAGACAGGGAGGAAGCAAAACTGTAACACTAACACAGGACACGGGATGATAAAAATAAAACAGTAAGCAAGACAAATACGGAGAACGAAGACACACGAGCTTAATACTGAGATTGTGGGAGAAACTGACATGGGGGCATGACTGACTTGGGAGACAGAGCGGATACATGGAACACGGAGACAAGAGGAACAAAATGAGTAATGTGGAACACAGGGAAAGTACTTTGGAAGTACTTTGGTTGTTTCACACTGGTCTAAAGCTAACGTCTGATCACTAGGTGACATTCCAGGCTCTGGTTTAAACCTCTGATGTATTAAACTACCAGAATATATATCAGTCATTAGTGCTCTGTGTCTCACTGGTTGTTCTTTATCTCGTAGGCCATCCACTTCAGTTATTTTACTGTTTGTCATTTGAAGTCACTGAATGTTGCTCACTACATCACTACAAATCATTTCCAGTGTGAACAGAGCTCAACACACACAGTATTTTATTGCAGTGTAACTTAATTCTAATTCTAACGCCAGGCTTTTTGGTTTTTGATTATCTCCAGAGGTACTAATGGATTCAACAACAGCAACAGCAGAACTGGGCTGGACCACCTACCCATCTCAAGGGGTGAGTAGAAAAATCAACACACTAGGAACAATGTACACAGTGTAGATAAGCAGTCAAAAGTTTGGACACACCTTGTCATTTAATGGTTTTTCTTTATTTTTACTACTTTCTACAATGTGGAGGCAAACTGAAGACATCAAATATATGAAGCAAGATATATAAAATTATGTAGCAAAGAAAAACTGGTAAATAACTCTAAATGTGTTTTATATCACAGATTCCTCAAAGTAGCCGCCCATTGCTTTGTTGACAGCACTGCATACCCTCGGCCTTCTCTCAGTGAGCTTCATGCTGTAGTCACCTGAATGGTTTCACTTCACAGGTGTGCCTGTCAGGGTTCATTTATTGCCTTCTTAATGGGGTTGGGACCATCAGTTGTGTTGTGCAGCAGTCAGATTGGTACACAGCTGACAGCCCTATTTGACAACTGTTAGAATTCATATTATGGCAAGAACCAATCAGCTAACTAAAGAGCAGTGTTGGGAAGGTTACTTTTAAAATGTATTCCATTACAGAATACAGAATGCATGCCCCAAAATGTATTCTGTAACGTATTCCGTTACGTTACTCAATGACAGTAACGTATTCTGAATACTTTGGATTACTTACTATATTATCATGCTTTTTACAACAACGTGAATGTACTATTGCTGTGATTTATTACTATTACTGAAGGTCCGCGACTCCGAACTGTAGTAAAGGGACCTCTGACTAATACGGGGTCCCTGTCGGCTCCTAGCCGAAAAATAGCTTTACTTTGTTGTCTGGGTCAACTTTTATTGCGAAAGACAGAGAGAGGCGTTGAAAGGCTGCTCCAACGGAACTTATTGTTTCGGAGGAAAACACGAACACGGTGTACAGTCGAGTCTTAATAGCTTACTTACAACTGGGCTCGTCAGGCACTCTTCTTGGCTGAAGTGGTTATTATTATATTTACATGCTTCCAGCTCCCGTTTTTCCTCAATGACAACTCGTACCTTTCCACTCCCCTTTTTCTCCCTCCTCGCGCTCACAGACCCATAACGTGTATGGCAGTCCATTCTCCCTGCAGCACGGACTACACTGCCCATGATGCTACATTCTTTAGAGCTATGCTTGTAGCATTCTGCCTGTTAGCTTAGCACAACAACAACAACAACGAAAAGGCGCTCTCTCACCCAGGAAGCACACAGTCGCAGAGAGAGAGAGAGCGTCGCCCTGTAACCATGGCAACTGTAACGCTGCCGCCTGGAACATCAGAATGTAGCTGTCAAACAAAACCCAAACAGTCCTGACCCGCCACAATATGAAACAGGAAAGTACCGCAGTGTAATCCATTTATTTCAACAAAGTAACTGTATTCTAAATACCACCTTTTTAAACGGTAACTGTAACGGAATACAGTTACTCATATTTTGTATTTTAAATACGTAACGGCGGTACATGTATTCTGTTACTCCCCAACACTGCTAAAGAGAAACACCAGTCCATCATTACTTCAAGAACTGAAGGTCAGTCAGTCCAGAAAACTGCTAAAACTTTGATTGTGTCCCCAAGTGCTGTCGCAAAAACTGCATTTCTTCTCACTAGAAGTGCTACACCGAAACTGTCTTACATGAGGACCACCCCAGGAAAGGAAGACCAAGAGTCACCAGCCTCAGAAATCACAAGTTCACAGCACCTCAGATTCCAGTAGCAGACACATCTCTACATCAGCTGTTCAGAGCAGATCGTGTGAATCAGGCCTTTATGGTCAAGACAAAAGGACCAACAAGTGCTCAGCATCTCTGGGAACTCCTTCAAGACTGTTGGAAAACCACTTCAGGTGACAACCTCATGAAGCTCATGGAGAAAATGCCAAGAGTGTGCAAAGCAGGAATCAAAGCCAAAGGGGCTGTTTGGAAGAATCTAAAATATAAAACATGTTTTGAGTTGTTTCACACTTTTTTGTTTACTAAATAATTTCATATGTTTATTCATAGTTTTGTGTTTATTCATAGTTTTGATGCCTTCTGTGAGAATCTACAATGTAAACAGTCATGAAAATAAACAAAAAACACCATTAAATGACAGCACCTGGAAAATATGCACATGGTAGCCCACTTACGTGGGTCTAACCTTTTTTTAATTTTATACTTTAAACTGGAGGTCAAACATATGCCATTGGTCCAGAATCAGCTTTCTGAAGAATCAAATTCAGCACACTGTGTAGAAGTAATACTTCATGTTTATCAGTAAAGTAGATTAATATTCTTGTGCTGGTATCCAGTGATACCATCATTACTGCACAATCTTTAAAACTGCATCTTTATTAAATATATTTGATGTTTGATGACATGAAAGTTTTAAGTGTGAAGAATATGAAAAGTATGAGATCAGGAAGGGGGGAAATACTTTTTCACTGTCCAAAAAATTCCAAACCAAGCTTTAAAAGTTGTAGAATTTAAGTCAGTTTTTTAAGTCAATAATTTAAGTTAATTTAAGTCACCTTGCTTGCTACATCCAAATATTGATAGCATGCTGGTATTGGTATCGGATCAATGCTAACATGGCTGGATCAATACTTTGTTTCTGTCCTCCAAACTCAGTATGTAGCTGATACTCAATTGCATTTAATAATTAATTTTTTTCTGCAAATGAAAAAATATATCTCAAACATGCCCTGTGAAAAATATCTGAACCTTTATCTGCTGACTGTCACATCTATGTTATTTAACCAAACTTAAACAATAGAAGTTGACCCAATGTGCCATAGAGATGGGGCATTTGATTTCCAGATCTCCAAAAATCCCAGTTTCAAAATATACGAAAAGCACAAAAGTGTGTTTTACTCTATTAACTACTTATTATGGAAAATAAAAATCACAGGGATTTAGTGGTGATTAAAATGGGTTGCAAACTTCTGATGAATGACTTGTAAGTGACTGCTCTCCCCTCTATAAGCTGCCTTTGTGGGTTAAAAGTATCTGTGTTGGTATCAGCAGTACTGGCTGACTCCACTAGCTTCTTCTGCTTTTGGATTGTTCCAAGTTGCCTTCAATGTTTTAGTGTTTGAAAGTTTGTCACTTTATCAGTAGCTCTGTTTCTTGGCTCTCTTCTAGTGGGAAGAAGTTAGTGGATACGATGAAAATATGAACACCATCCGAACATACCAGGTGTGCAATATCTTTAATAGCAGCCAAAACAACTGGGTCCGGACCAAATACATCCGTCGCCGTGGTGCTCAGCGTATCCATGTCCAGATGAAATTTTCAGTACGGGACTGTAGTTCCATACCCAATGTCCCTGGCTCCTGCAAGGAGACCTTCAACCTCTATTTTTTTGAGACTGACTTGGATAAGGCCACTAAATTATACCCACCCTGGATGGAAAACCCATGGGTGAAAGTGGACACTATTGCAGCTGACGAGAGCTTCTCTCAGGTCGATCTCGGTGGCCGCATCATGAAGATCAACAGTGAAGTTCGAAGCTTTGGACCTGTTTCCCACAATGGCTTCTATCTTGCTTTCCAGGATTACGGTGCCTGCATGTCACTCATTGCTGTCCGAGTCTTCTACAGGAAATGTCCCCATATAATCCAGAATGGAGCGGTTTTCCCTGAGACACTGTCAGGAGCAGAGAGCACCTCTCTTGTGGCAGCCAGAGGAGTGTGTGTTCCTAATGGGGAGGAGGTGGATGTACCCATCAAGCTGTACTGTAATGGGGATGGGGAGTGGATGGTACCTATTGGTCGCTGTATGTGTAAAGCTGGATACGAGGCTGTGGCGAATGGTACAGTCTGCAAAGGTAAGAAGGAATGTGTGAATGAGTTCTTATGAGATGTGCCTCACTAGACTGTTCTATGGCTGTGCCCTATCATATCGCTTGCAGTAACACCAATGTAAATTTTACATCAAATGTCAAATTACTACATCGTTGTGTTTTTAGCATCTAAAATTTAGCTACTTCAAACAGCTCCAGCAAATCACAATACTTTGCAAAATATGAAAACTGTTCTTGCTAAAGGTGGAAAGATGAGTGTTTCACACACATGAGATAAAAAATGCAGTTGCATCTCCTCCAGCTACGAAGGACGAGATGCTGATCTGCAACCCAAACGTAAACCAATGGCTCAACTTGGTCGAACTTGCTAGTTGTGCTCCATAATGTCAGGAGGAGCAACAAATAAAACAAAAAAGAAGAAGAAAATAACGAAACAAACTGAAGTCACTATCACAATTTTTCTTGAAATATTGTGATATAATGTTGAGCCCATCATGCCCACCCTGGCTCTGTTCACAGATGAAGAGCAGCAAGAATAAACAAATAGTTTTATATGCATAGTGATGATGTTAGTGCATCTTGAAATGAACCGGCTTAAAGTAATTTAAGTGCAACGTTTTTCATTCATTCTGTAATCAAATGTATATATACAGACAAAAGGTACTTTATTTTAGCTGTACAACAGATTGTCACCAGGGCAACACTGTGTAAGATAATGTAAACTACACAGTTCCCCACCTGAACTCTGAATGTGCTTGAACTGCCCAATAATCTGAGATTAGAATATTTACACTACACTACTTCTACAGAAATTCTTAAAAAGTACATGAAGGATTTTCGTTTATCCAATGCTTAGTGTTCACATCACCCCACTCGTAAGGATTAAAACTTTTTTTCACCTGTACACTACTATTCTTGCGTAGACTTTTAGTTTGTAGCCCCATTATGATCGATATCCCATACCGTCAGACATTCATCACAGATTCATTCTATTAGTAGCAGTGGTCATGCACCAGTGTCTTTCTCTCTGACAAAGAAAGTGACACCACTAATTAGGAATGGGAAGTTAAATAAATCCTTATGTAAAGAATAAGATTTCATTATTATTTTCTAAAGGGAGTAGGCAATTTACTTAAAAAATAGTGGCCTCTTTAGGAAGCAGGAAATGTAGTAATGTGGCAGAAAATAATATATTGCTGTTCACATAAGAAAAATAAAGAAAGAATACCTTTATTAGAATTGGAAGAAAAAATTACAAGTCCATTAAATCATTAGAAGCTGCCTATGTTGCCTCAGACTAGGACAAAGTGCCCTGGTCAGTCTTTGTGGAAATGGTGCACAGTGGCACTGCTTCAGGATATTACACTGCATAATTCACCACTAATACAAAGTGATATAAATAAAATTGAATTGAATTGAATTGAATTGATATTCTCGTGCATTCCGGTGAAGTGGCTCAATGAAATCCAATGCCAATATGCTCAGATGAGACCTCCATGCAAGGTATTTTCCAAAGGCACTTCTGGGATAGCCGCCTGGTTCCCACATTCTCCCTGATGCCTGGCCAATAAAAATGGGCCATGAGCTGTTCCAGAGTTTTGTCATATTTCCCTGCCATGAGGTTATGATAAGCTATCTTGAAAATAATTTCTCTGCAGCTCTTTGTGACCAACAGCTGGCTGCATTTCTCTTCCATGCAAGTTTCACAACTCACTCGATACAGTCTGCCTCTAATCAACACAAAATGCAGGTTGGTCAGCGCTATGTGGAGTAAATTATTGGAGTAGGCGGGGCCTCCCAAGAAGATGCTGTCTCCTCCTCCCCAGAGTCAGCTTCAGACAACCTCACGTTACCTGACTGTAGTACAAACACTCCACCTTCCTGTGGGTTGTGAACACATCTGCACATTCCAGCCAATCTGTTCCCAGAATGAAGGGATGCGTCAGATGTGACCTAACCACCATCTTGACTCTGTGTGCACCTGTATTTAATCTTTAGCAGTACTGTGGGATATTTGTGTATGTCCCCATGCACACACCTCCTCATCAGACCGACATCTTCCACTGCTCCCTCCGATCCTGGCAGTAATGCCAGTGAGAAACCAGCCCTAGCAACCAGACTCTTCAACATCCTTGTCTGGTGCTTGGACTGGTCCTGCAGCTAGTCCAACTGTCAGTGATGCACCATTGCCTGCTCCTGACACATGATTGCCACCAGTTAGGCCACAATCCGAGCCAGTGTCTTGACTTGTTGAGTTAGTCACTGGTCTGACTGACGTGACCATGACAATAAAAATATAGAAAAAGCATGGCAAAACACATGAAAACATTGCCATTTTAGCATAACTCTGTCGTACTTACTCACTTGCTCTCAACCGTTGCCTTCACTGCTGTGACCCGGTGCTTGAGATGACTGACTCCGATAATAACTTTAATATCACTGAAGGGAGCAGAGTTGCTGTTTTCGGAAATTTAGAATTCTTCAGATTGTGCAAACTGTTCAAGAGTTATGGCAGTTTAAAAATAAGCAAAAACCTGTTGGTGGGAACTGGTTATAAGCGTTAATGGGTTAACAACATCATTGACGCCGAAGAAGACATCTAGGGTGTACGTCTTGTGTTCTGCTCTTTTCTACAACGTTCATTGTGTGCAATGCAGACAGTGCCCTGCCGAGCTGAATAGGACAGAGGAGGGGGTGTCAAGAGAGGTGGGACTAAAAGAGATTAAAGTTCCCCTGGTTTACCTCTCATTACATCAGAGAGAAAGTAAAAGCGTAAAAGGGTTTAATATCGAGTCTTATATGTTAAAAGTGATACAGAGTGCTAAAAATAGAGTTTACCTATATGAGAGAAGTGGTATTAAGTATGTTGTAATTGTTAAACACAGAATCATAATTTATAAGTGATTTTGCTAATAGTTAATCTTTTTTAATTCTTAATAACAATCAGAATGTAATCAGGTATAAGTTTAACCAATATAACAAATAAGAAAATAAAAACTATGAAATGATTCTACTAACACGTCTCTCACTGAGATTCCATATGGAGTGACTTATTTGTGCAAAGATGGCCTTGGAAGCTGTGAGAGTGTGTAAGAAGGAAAATTGAGAATACCAGGACTGACAAACACAGAGTTGTGTTATTTCTGTAAAGAGAAAAAGCGAGAAAAAATATTTGTGTGTAACCGAGTTGAAAAGAAATCATATTAGAGTGGATATTCATGTGATTGAGACAACGATAAATCCTGTTGAAGTAAAATAGCATAAACTAAACTAAAGACATGACAGAAAGTATATTCATATTTGATTTAATGTTCATATGTAGTGAAATTATGTACAACAAAGATAAAGGTGTATATGTTGATATATGTATAAAAATTGCAAATTTACAGGCTAATATTAATGTACAGAATTGCTATTTTACAGGTTAGGTGTAAGTACAGCTGTATTATGCTGTGTATAAGTGTGTGTGTGTGTGTGGGGGGGGGGTCTGTTTAGGTCAAAAGTGTGATTTCAGAGTATCATTATTTATTTAACAAAACCTAAGCCAAAATGCATAAGTAATGTGTTAAAAACTAAGAACACTCTGTGATTGAAAAACCTTTAGATTTGCTTACTATTTGCTTGGTCGTAGCCTTCAGTTTTAATTATTATAGAAATGTTACAGATGTTACAGTCATAAAAAAGGGATGGATGTCTACCAACTGGAAGGCTGGTGAATCGATCCGTTGTCCTTGTGTCAAAGTATCCTCAGTTGCCCTCGATGTGAATGTTAGATAGACGTGCTTGCATATAGATCAAAGATCTGTATGAATGTCTTTCAGGGGAAGGGACTGACAAAAAACCCTTTCATATCAGAAGAGAGACGTAGCTGACAGAGAGCAAACACCTGAGCGAATCATCACAGTGTGATTGGATGAGTGAGACTTGTGGTGAGAAAGCATTTTGAGTGCTCAAAATTGAGTAGAAAAGTACCTCTCAACTTACCATTTAGCAGACTGTTAGAAATGTCTCTAAATGGCAAATCTATTGTCGTCTCTCCCTGTTTCTGCAATAAAAGGACGATGGAAACTGGTAAACAAACCTTCCCTCCTACTATGGAATAAACACCTGAGCACAAGTATGGGAAACAATACAATACATAATCCAGCTTTTTTCATTCAGAATTAAAGTGACAACTATCCTTTTTTACTGGTTCTCCCAACCATACACACACACATTTCAGCACGTTTTGTACTTTCCACTTAGCTCAATCTGTTGGGCTGTCTCTAGTTTAGACATTCGTTTGACAATTTGAGGAAAAGGTTACATTTGCAGTACACAAACAGAAATGCAAGAAAAATCTTTTGAATTTAGTTAGTTTAAGGAGGAGTACGTTGGAGTTTAGTGAATTCAGAGCTGACTAAAGTTGACTTCACAGGCTTGAAATGTATCACTGTAAATGATTCGATTTGTATACTGTACATATATTTTTCATCTTATGAGTTTTCCTTTACAGTGTCTGTGTTCTACAAAAATACCTCCAGTAAAATCCAGCATCATGAGAACTGGTTTGGAGAATTATTTAATTCCTTTTTGAGATAAATAAATCTTTTCCTCGAGTAAAATATTTATGCAGCAGTAACTTTATTTCAAATGCAGAAATATTTTTCAAATAAATAATTAGTCTGAAAATATTCAGACCTGGATGAAGGAATTACTATTTCAGAATCCATTAGTTTGGCTTTGAGGCATAGTGTATGGTAATGTGGACCACGACCATAAATATTAATTTACTCAGTTCGTTGATGTCATGTCGTCCTTAGGTTTCAGTTTTTCTTGGGTCTGATAGGGTCTGGCTTTCCCACATGTGACAGCTGGAGTGTTCCACATTTAGGCATGCCCTGAAAAGACACACACACACACACACACACACACACACATACACACACACACACACACACACACACACACACATCAAAAAACACTCATAAAACCTTTTTTTAAAACCAGCAACCTAGAAGATGTGCGAGTTGTGTATCAGAAAT